GTGTGTGTGAGTATGTATATGTATGTGTATGTCTCCATGTCAGTGTATGTTCGTGTGTCTGTGTCTGTGTCTGTGTCTCTGTATGTGTATGACCGTGTGTTTGTGTATCTGTATGTCCGTGTGTGTGTGTCCGTGTCTGTGTATCTGTATGTCCGTGTGTCTATGTCTGTGTCTGTGTGTGTGAGTATGTATATGTCTGTGTATGTCTCCGTGTTAGTGTATGTCCGTGTGTCTGTGTCTGTGTCTGTGTCTCTGTATGTGTATGTGCGTGTGTTCGTCCGTGTGTGTGTGACATGTATGTGTGTCTGTGTATGTCCGTGTGTCTGTGTATGTATGTGTGTATGTAAGTGTGTCTGTGTATGTCCGTGTGCCTGTGTATGTCYGTGTGCCTGTGTATGTCTRTGTSCCTGTGTATGTCCGTGTGCCTGTGTATGTCTGTGTGCCTGTGTATGTAAGTGTGTATGTGTATGTCCGTGTRCCTGTGTATGTCTGTGTGTCACMAAAAGTCACGGAATGTCACAAACACGGGAAGTATGATAGTCACTTCCCGTCACCACCGCAGACGTCATGAGTGTGTTTTAGTTGGGAGTGTGCATGCTGTAGGGAGAAGAAAACTATCAGAGGGAGAGCAGGACATGGGATATAGGAGCAAGAGAGTRAGGGCAGGCTTGAGTTTCAAGGTACGCAGGGAACGATACCTTCCTCGACGAAAGCAACGRCGTACACTGTAGACTGAATGCTTGGGAAGATGCAGCTTTTGGTTYGACAATTCTGCTTCGRTGGTTCAACCGTGCGGCRCATAARACAACACAAACAGACAGAGAATTAGTGAACAATGTGTCACACACACTCACATAAACTCTACGACACACACAGACTCTCGGTCATTGATGTGTTATGAACATGATTGTYCGCTGCAATTCGTCAGCCCTCACTCACATAGACTCCCGTACACGYCCATACATGMAGAGAAGGAAGGGGAGAGGAAGTAGAGTGCCACAACGMGGAGAAAAGAAAACGCAGTGGAAGACTCACAGAAGCAAAGTGACAKAACACACAGTAYAATGAATTCTCTCTACATATGCATTGMGCCTTCCCCGCTGCACTTACRATAGAGTGCACATGTCACCTTGCATTGTTACACATGTYGCAGTCTGACATTAACCAGAATGACGTCACCACCATCAGACTGCAGAAAAGGAGTAGATGTCGTTGACCACAAAACAAAATCAATCATTAYAACTAGTATCCAATAASAGAGTCAAGAGTTCCTGGATTCARCGCTCAACAAAGKATCACGTCCCCTTCGTTACCAGAAGTTATYTGCCCGGCGCTGTCTGCGCTMATCATCAACAACACGAATTGCGAAGTCCAGGTAAGAACAAGTCCTCTCCACATATTCTCTCTGCTTTGTATCTCACAATGGCAGAAGTCTTCACACCATGAGACGCAAGTGTGTTCACARCATGCATCGTCAACAACCAGAATGAGCACAAKTCTTCACTGTTATGAACTTGRTTGCCTRACGAATTTTGTCGCMACTCACACACAGACAATCTCACACATGCCCATACATGCATAAGAGAAGGGGAGAGAGGAGTCAGAGTCCACACTGCACACAGGTGAAAATAAGCAGCGGAAGACAGACATGCACAGGTGGGGAGAAGACACGCAGTGTTTCTCACTCTCTGACACAACTCCCAACAACCAATCACAAGAAAGAACCTGCAAAGATCACAATTGAAAGGTCACTGAGGATGAGCCACTCATACAATTATCATAACAGAGTTTGTTCCAATATCCCGCCACACTCAGAATTCACACCCCTCTCTATCCTATACCCAGTTAGTAGCGCTGCATCAGAACATCCTCCCAGAGGCCAGCGCCAACCACCCTGATGAATAAATTGTCCTGCGATGAAGTCTTCAGTGCCGATGGACAACTCGGACGAAGGAACAGGCAGCTATGGCTGCCACCACCCACGAACCATCACTGTAGAGCCTCGGTCCAGCCCGGCCATACGCAGATACCCCGAGGGGTAGATGCGTTGAGGATGCCTCAGCTATGGCAGACTCAGATGTGGTCGGCTATGGCTGCTGTTACAGTGCGTCTCAGGATGCCGCCTGCAGACCAACACCGCCACCAACTGGCTTGGCTTCTCCAACGCTGTGTGGCGAGAAATGAACTGCCAAAAGTCTTGAAGCAGTGGGCCTATCCTATCTATAGACTCTCTAGACCTAGACCAGATTGACTGATCGACCGGTATCATTGCTGTTTCGGCCTCTCGGCCTCTACCGGACCCGGCTATAGGCTATAGGACCGTCTAGCAGCATAGGCCACTTAGGGCCTGTCTGTCTAGAGGTAGCCAGGTGTCGGGCGGCTCCATCCCTACGCCGCCCTTTACTTCTCTTACAAGGGCGCGCTACGAGGTTCCCATTCGTTCGTTTCTACTTGGCAGGGGCTCACCGGCTATCGGAGAAATGTCGCGACAGGTTGACGAAACGAGTGGCCGGGCTACGACGTTCAGTTCGCGCACGGGTCGGGCATTGAACAATGGTATCATTGCGGAGAGAGCCTAAGACGTGAGCTGCTGACGAACACAAAGAGGCTACCACAACGGATAACAACCAAGGGGTTGGACAATAGAGCACGGTTGTGAAAGGTCGGGATGATACTAAAGGTCGGCGAAATAGTCGAGGAAATGGAGGCGTCGGGTGTTTATCGTGAGGCTACGGAGGTTTTAAGCGGTGACGGTGTCCGAAGTTGCCTCGAGTAACCAAATTCTCAAGGACACCCTGGGTGAATAAGCGGTGGGATCGGGCCTACGCAAGGGCCTCGACACTAAGAGGAGAAGGGTGCGGGCCTAGGACTCGGAGATGCGCCTCCCGGCCTAGAGTTTTGGGCGGGCCTGCGTGACTTTTACAAAGGGGGCTGGTACCACTTATGAGTGGGGACCACCAAGGCCGAGATAGGCCCGGGGCAGGTTCGGGAATAAGTCCGGTACCGGGGCGCTGCAAAAGGCCCGGTTCCCGACAAAAAGGCCCCTCTCGACAAAAACCTTTCGGGGGCCCAATAAGGGCCGGGCACAGGTCCGGCACCGGGGCGCTGCAACATAGGTGCAGGCCCAAAGCGACGGGACCGGGGGAAGGAGCCTGCGAACTTTAAAAGCCGAATAGGGCTCCGGACGGGGACACTTCGCACGTACGCAAAAGGGAGCATGCGGGACAGAAGGCGCACGGGAGAAGGGGACTTCTCGCACGCTTGAGCCAGGGCGCGGACAGGAGAGGACACTTCTTGCATGCGGGAACATGCGCACGGGGGGGGTGACATGCGCACGTAGGCGAGACTCACAGACTTCGAGGGAGGGACGAAGGCAGAGTACGCACGGGCCAGGTGCGGACGGACGGGGACATCAGCGCGAGCTCACGCACTGCGGGTGACTGCGCGCTTACACGCTCTACCAACCGCGCTCAAAGTACACATGCGCGCACAGCTCGAATGTGAGCTGGACACGCCGCGCACATCACCACCCTGCGCACAGACACACTTGTACACACGCGCTGCATCTGACCACGCGCATCTGATCATGCCTGCGCTCTTCCGCACACGACAGCGCACCGGGCGAAGAGCACCTATGCGCACCTGAGCGCACGGGCGC